TAAATTCCAGGTAAGCCTGACCTAGTTCCATGAATCAAGAGTGTAGGAATGGGGTTTCTCCCAAGAATTGAGGATGTTACTGGAAGAGCAGACACTGGTTACATTGGGTTCAGCAGTGGCTGTCTCATAAATGGGTCTACCTAGAACTTGTGTATATGATTTTATTTGGAAGAAAGGCCTTGACATATGTAACTAAGGATCTCAAAATGAGATTATTCTAAGTTTGAACAAATCCTAAATTCAACTATTAGTGTCCGTAGAAGAACAGGGGCAAAGACACATGGAGAAGATCATGTAAAAACAGAGGCACAGCTTGAAGCAATGAATCTCTAAGTTAAGGAGTGAAAAGTGTGCTAGTGTTCACCAGAAACCAGGGGAGAGGCATGGCCCAAATTCTCTGTAAGACCCTGCAGAAGCAATCAATGCTGCTGACATCTTGAGTTTTAAATTGCCTGGTTCTAGAACTGTGAAAGAATAAATCTCTAGGTTTGTAGCTACTAGTTTATGATATGTAGCTCAACCTTAGGAAACTAGTGTATACAAACAACTGAGGTAAATAAATTCACTGAGTAGGAGTTGTTCTGATCTGGATTGTTATCTCAAAAGTCAATTATCTGCCAACACCCCAGGTTGAGATGTGTATTTATTCTTGCCTGTATCTACTTGCCACTCAAGCTGGTCTGCTTAGAATCTAGCTGTGCTGTTAGCCTCATTAGACAGACCCCTTGAAGGGCTAATACAAACCCAGGCCACACATTACGTCAGTAGGAAGAAAGATGACAGAAAAGCCCCAAGGACCGGGAGTCTGTGTTGCAGCAGACTGTGGCTAATGACTACAGGACAGGCTGCTCTCTTGTCCTTACACTGTGACATTTTCACTGATCAGTTTGTGGCTCTGAGGATATACAAACTACCTTGGGTCAACTGAGGCTCCAGTTTCTGTTATGTGGTTCAAGAGTGCCTGCTTTGCTTGTCCAAAGCCAGGTGCTGTGGAGGCTGGATTTTTTCAAAAGGGAGGAGAGAAATAAACACACATTGCTGCTAACTGTGGTCTGAATGCTTTGGGGATGGTAAGGGTTGTGGTATTCTGTTTTCTTTTCTTTCTGTAAGAATAGGAAACAGCTAATCTCTGTGCTGATTCTTACAAGTGTGCTATTTTTCCAGCTCAATAGCTGCATTTGTTTTCCTTTTCTTGGGACCACAAACAGCTCTGGCAGGAGCAAAGATGCCAGCACAGCTGGGTACTCAGGGCCTGGCAGCTCATGTGCAGATTACAGCCAGTAAGACTGGGGCCCAGGTGTCCAGCATGCAGATATAAGGATAGGGAAAAGGGGACTCAGGTAACCTTGGCTTTTTCTTTTGTGTTTTTGTGGGTCAGGGTGGTGAAATATACAATGACATGGACCAGATAAATGATGAAGCCTTTATTCCAACTTCAGGACAACACAAGTGCCTTTTCAAGCCAGATAAAACAATATCCCTCAGGAGAAATGAAGGAGGGAAGGAAGGAAAGAATAAAAGGAAAAAAGGAATCATTTTTTTGAGTTCAAGTAGACACGTCCATAAATTAACCACTGTATTTTTCTCTTTTTTTTTTGGTACTGGGGATCGAACTCGGGTCCTTGCGCTTGCGAGGCAGGCCACCAAACCACTGAGCTAAATCCCCAGCCCTACCACTGTATTTTTCAATTAAATTTAAATCACAGTGCCCTGTTCCCAGGTACACACATTTTCCTAACATACCCAGTGAGAATTATTGGAAATAACCATGCCAGAGAACGTCACAGATTTATTCTGTCTTACCAGATATGAAGACCATCAGTTAAAAATCCCAAACAAATAAAAGTGTGTCCTAGGCCTGTCAAACAGATGGACAGCAAAGTCAAATATCATTTAATTTTATATTTGTAAAGTAACTGCATTGCAGCACCTGTAATCTCAGCCCTGGAAGGTTCACAAGTTCAAACCCAGCCGGCACAACTTCATGACTTCAAAGACAGTGTCTCAAAATGGGAAAGAAAAAGAATGAAAAGAAAGAAGAAAGAAGGAGTGGGAGTGTAGCTCAGTGTGAAGGCCCTGGATCCATTTGGCAGTGCTGGGAATAAAAATAGGTATGCACTGATTGGGAGGTGGGTTATTGAAGTATCTCACTGTACAGGAGAAATAATAGTCAAATCAGTTTAATGCTATCCACAGTACTCAGCCTTCAACTTACTGTCACTATTACAGTGACACATTCTTCACAAAGCCCTTCTGGATAGATCTCTAACCTTGCCGCTTTTCACTTACCTATCTCCTTTCTTCCAGCAGCTGCCCTTCTTTAGAAGTGATTTTGCTTTACAGTTGAGTTACTACTTCCACAAGGCAGAAAAATGGAGCAAAAGACATACACACGTACTACTATTGGGAATCTGTGAGAGGCAAGGTAGTTCCATGGGCCAGTTTGGAAGTCTGAGTTTGTTTTTGTTTTTCTCTCATGGTCAGCTTTAAATCAGCCTTATATCTTTCAGATGTTGTCATTTCTTGAACTGGATACTTATCAAGTGCTTCTGAGTAGAATACCATAGATATCTGAGATTTTATGAAGCTATAAGTCCTCTCTAATGATAGCTTCCTTTTGTCCGTAAGGTGTGAGCACCTTGTGACTCATTAATGGCAGTTTCCTGCCTGAGGTTACCTGGAAGACACCAGGCAGGCGAGTGACCTCCAGGAAATCACTGATCCTTAGGGGTCCCTTCCATTTCCATTCTGTAGGAATCAAGTGCTACACCTCCTGATTGCTGAGATACCCTAGAGCCCAGAAATTCTGCCATTCTGTCAGAGTTATCCTAATGCATACAGATAATGGAAGATACTATCTTCAGTTTAGTGGACACACTAGCCATGTGCTGGGCATGATGCTGGGTCTGTAGCAGTCCCTGTTCAATCTAATCATCCCACCTTGCCTAATAATTAAGAAAATATTCTCATAATCCCCCATCTATGGGTGAGAAGACTAAAGCTAAGGGAAATGAACCAATGGGCCATTCTTCTTGAGTTCATTATCTTCAGAGCTGCACGCTATTGAAAAGTTCATCCTAGCTTGTGCTCAACATATCAAATGGGACTTAATGAATTTTACTAGGCTAGGGAACATTTCTCTCTTAATGTCTTCTCATCCATCCTGCTAATTGGTCTTATAATTTTAGGTTCAGAAGATTTTATCCTATGCTTGACTTAGAGAGATGAGGGATGGCAGGAAGGACACAGTACCTTTCTCTTTTGACCTTTCTCTTCAGGATCTTTACTCATAGTTGAAGTCCCTGTTCTAGACAGGAAGGGATGCCACTTCCCTTAGATTCTGCAACTGCCAAGGTGGTATTCTTGTTCAAAATCTTAATATCCCTGTATCCAACTCCTCCATTACATTTACATTTGATGAGCAAATAACTGACATCATATTTCCATCTCCCATTCGGGTCCCCTGAAGAACTGGAATTCTGGGCATCTACTGAAATTTAAGGGAAGAATGCATTCCTGGCTCAGGTGACCCATTACCCACGTCTTTACTGGAAGAAATATTTTGCAGGTTTCCTTATACAGATAGCAGCACAGGTATCCAGGCTTCTCATGTTCCCAGACTTACTGGCTTTATTGCGTGCTCTCTCTCTCTCTCTCTCTCACTCTCTCATTCTCTCTCTCTCTCTCTCTCTCTCTCTCTCTCTCTCTCTCTCTCTCTCCTTCTTGAGTTCCCTCCCACTCATGTTTTAAGTGCTGGAATCCGCTATTAACGTCCTAGAGAAAGCCTTTTCACTTTTTTATTCTTGCAGCCTCTAGAGAAATGTGCTGCCTTGGGATCTGCTGGATCCTACACCAGGTTTATGCAGGGCAATCAGGAGTCTCCTGCAGCTTAATGCAATGCAGTAGGTGTTTCTTTTCAGAATTTATTTTTTGCCACTCTGAGTTTTTTGGAGTGTTTTTTCCCCCTCAAAGAACCCCCTATGAGATGTTCTTTGGAATTTTTTTTTCTAATACAAAAAGAAAAGAAGGAAGAAAAGCCCACACGTTGTCCTGGAGGAGAAATTAAGCAGGACACAATGCAGTTCCTATCGATGCTGCCCAGGCTCTTACACCCAAGACATTTTCCTTTACTCTTTTATGAAACTACATCACATCACATGGGAGAAAAATTGACCATAAGATTTTGTTTCTGGTTTCTCAAAATCTGTTCATTTTTGCATCTTCTGAGCCACTCTAAAAGCACCTTGGATTCTGCAGTGTGGAAAATGGCAATTAAAAAAAAAAAAAGATAGTTATTTATTGCTCCTTAGCTACCAGGGCTTTTTGTCAAAGGCTGGATGTACATCATTTCCTTGAATTATAGCAGAAGCTTTGTCTGATCGGTGATAGGAGTCTTGTCCTCATTTTATGTACGGTGGTAGACTTGGAAAAATTACTTGGCCTAAGGTCATGTTGGTAGAAATTGGAGAAAAGAGTAGTATAGTACAGATCTGTATCTTTATCCCTCCAGGAATCAAGCTGAAGCGCATTGGTCTTTTCCTTAGGTCTGGGGTAGATAATCACTGGTCGGCTGGGAAGGAGTCAACTCTAGGGGGAGCTGTGTCCTCCATCAAGGGGAGCGAGCATTTTGATGCAGCTCAGTGAAACTGAGGCTCCACCCTTGATCTTACAGTCTCTCATGAAGACCAGAACATGCATGTCGCATCCCCAGACGCTGCACGGCTCAATGTATATCCTAGGAGCACTGACATGTAGTGCATGAGATGACAGGTCTAAAAATGTGTATTGTGTCATCGTTGTCATGGTAAAAACTGGAAACAGTTTAATGCCCACTGATCGATGAATGGATCGATAGATTTGGTGACTCCATGCAGTGCAGTTCTGTGACACTTATAAGGGAAGCAGATCTACATGAGTTGACACAGATCCAGGCTCGAGTTGCGTTGAAAAAAAGTGGTCAAAAGAGGTGACCCTTATGAAAATTTTATTATATTTATTTTTGAAATATGGAGCGCTTCACGAATGTGCGTGTCATTCTTGCGCAGTGGCCATGTTCCTCTTCTCTGTACTGGTCCAGTTTTATTATATGTGCAGCCCAAGTGAGCACTCCAAATATTAAAATACACAAAATAGTACTTTCATTATTAATTATGCACACATCTACATAATTAAAAAGAAGACATTAACGGGAAGGGTCTACTTTATGATGGTGGTTTTTCCCGGAGGGAAGAGAATGCAATGGGGAATAGTGCAGTGGTAGAGGTGGCAGGGGGCTTTGTTTTCTAACACATTTGTTCCCAAGTAGAAATTTTGAAAGATATCATGAGAAAATATTAGACTATTAAATCCACACGATAGGCCAATAACTATGTCCCGCTAGTGTCTGATTCCCTGCACTTTCTTTCGTGTGAATATTAGTTTGTAACCATTCTTTTTCAAGTACAGTGAGAAAGGGCATTAGAAAGGTTTTCAAAAGCAAGGTTGTGTGTGTGCGCGTGCGCGTGTGTGTGTATACGTGTGTGTGCTTGTGTGTGGTCTCCCCAGCCTCTGGCAGGAAACACCATCTTCCAGCATAGTCCCTGGGATTTCAGGAGGCTGACAAATGTTGGGGGCAGGTACCTAAGGCTTCCCTGCACTCCAGATCATCTTCCATTCATGTCCGCATCTCAGTGCTGGCCAGGTTAGCTCCCTACAGCAGACCTGTTAATGTTGTTCTCATTTAGCTTTTAAAGGGCAGAGGTTTTTATCACTTCTCAGGGCAGAAAATCAGCCATGAGTTTGTTTCTCTTGAAGTCCAGGCTCATTGTTGTGTCTCCTGTTCTGCCTACTCTAATTCTGTCTGAGCTGCTTGGGCAATTGTGAGCTCTACAGAGAGAGATGAATGTGCCTTTCCAGAGCAAAGGGACCAGTGAGTTCTGTAGTTCCGATTAGTAAACCTCTGAGGTCCTCTCTATCCTGCAGGCTGGTGAATGTGGCCGGCAGCGAGGCTCCCACTTTTCCTGGGCAGCAGGTGCCCTACTCCAAAGTCATTACCCTGATCTACAAATATGCCTCGCGTCTGTTCTAAGAAGGACTTTGTGTAATGATTTGGAGCAATCTGTCCGCTCTGCCCTCCTCTTCCTTCTGTCCTTCTGTCCCCCTCTGTTCCCTTTCCTTTCCTCTCCCTGTGTTTCTCTTATTCCCGCTTTTCCTTCTGTCTGCTCCTTTCTCTTGCTCCAGTGGGCCGGCTACAGGACTGCAGTAGTTTCTCCTTCCTCTTATTCAGTTAGAGGAGCTCGTGAAAGTCTATCTCCACTAAACACTGTTGTGTTTTGGTTCTTATCCATGCCGAACTTTCTAAATCCACAAAAGCTTTTGGCCCAGGTACGAAAGGATGTACATTCAGCGCTTGAGTTCATTGTATGACCTTGGTTAAAGAGCCTCCTGCCAGGTATTCTGAGGAGCGGTGAGAGCGTGTGAAGTACCCTAGATGGACAGGGAGGGAGATGCAAAGGTCATGTGCCTGCTGTAACTTCTCTGTCACATTGACACTGGCCACTGCCAGGGCTGAGGCTGATTCCCAACTTCCCCTGTTCTTACCTAGCAAGAATGTTCTTCCGTGAGAAAGTATTCTGGCTAAGCACCCCTAAGAGGGGATCTTTTCGTTATACATGTATATTAGGGCAACATTTCTTCCTTTCCTTTGGCATAAACAAGGGAGAATTTAGTTTATCCCCAGTATATGAAGAGTTTTACATCAGTGAAGGGAAACGTGTATTCCTAATAAGTTCTGAAGTGATTCCTCTCTGCTCATTCCCAATTCACTAAGACTTATTCAAGTAATAATCTCTACAACTGGGTGAAAAACGAGGCAATAAACACATAATGCAATTGATTAAATAAAAAAAAAAAAAAACAGCCATTTGCGGAGTGTGCCGCTCAGAGCTGCAAGGCCAGGCTGATTACTTGAGGAGCTGGGGGCTCTTGCTTTGCTGCTCAGCAGCTCCGAATGTAAATTGTAGAGCGGAAGGTCAGCATCCGCAGTTCCCCAGGGCCTCGCAGCACAGAGTCACCAGGAAACCCTGTTAGCGAGCTTTGGGAGGCTGGGGTTCAGTAAAGCAGGCCATTGGCCCGATCCAGTGCCACATTCTGGGAGTCCCAAGGGGTGAGGAGGAGATGGGCCTTCCCTGCACAAACACGCAACTGTGTTTGTTCTTGCCTCTCTGGGTTGTGGATTCTCAATTAAAAAAAAAAATAGCCGGAGTGAGAAATAACTTATTTCCCTGTTAACTCTAAGAGAAACTGTAGGACTAAACCCCCATGCCAGCACTTGTCTAACTGATGTGGGTCTTGGTGACTTGGTCACTGACTCACTGCTCCCCTCCTTACCCAAGAGGCATTCGTAAGAACAGCACTGAGTCCTCAGGGACGCCTGGGGATGTACCAGACAAAGCTGAGAATGACTCTGGAGAGAAGGTGAGCACGGGCTGAGAAAGAGAAACTCGGCGGGCGCGAATAGGTGGGTGTTGGGAGAAGCAGAGCACTAGAGTCTGTGTGACCTGAGTTTCCAGAAGCTTTCTTGTGTATGTAGGGCAGCGCTTTTCAGAGAAGCAGCTTAATACTGCATTACTTACGTCTTTGGCTGCTGGAATATATAACTTTACAAACAAGTTTGGCCTTCAGAAGGCCACGGAAGGTCTCCAGCTTTTATAGAATTACAATGCTTGCACTCCCTGAGAGAAGCCAGATACTACCATGGACTCCTTTGGAAAGGAAAAGGTTTTGAGTGCAAAGTGTCGTTCTCTACTTTCACCTATTATGTGATTAGGTGGCAGCTTTAGCCCCTAGAGGGAAATAGATTTAAGGGGAAGATATGTTGCAGGTTAGGCTGAGCCTTAGTTTAAAAACTGGTAAAGAATCACTGGGGCAGTTGGCACTGATAGGATCCATCCAAAGCAAGATCGAGACAGATTCTTTTAAAACAGTTTTCTGGCTGCTTTGGGTAACTGAGTATAAAGAAGTGGTATTTATACTGTCTGTTCCCAGAGGTTTTAATTATTTATTGGTTTGTATTTATTATTACTCATTTGGTTTGTGGTGGTTTTTATAGAGAGATGATAATAAGGTATAATGATTAATAGCTAAGGTTCTTAATACGATAGGCCTCTGGGTTTCTCAGCTCTTTACTTCTCTTATTGAGCTGGTCTTATTGAAATGTCTTCAGTTCATACCTCAAGCTTCTGCTTTCTGAAATTAGCATAATAATTTAATGCCTACTAGATGAGACACTGTGAAAATATATATAACAAGAGTAAATTGTTTCCAACAGAAATTGATGCATATATGGACTCAGTATATGTTCACTGATTTTTATTAATTTCTATTCAGAGTTTACCCTCCCATGTAGGTGTGTGTTTTCTAGCAAAGTTCTTTTGAAAGATCTGATTCCTGTCACTGTCCAGCTATGGAGAATATTTGGTAACATGGCTGAGGCACTAGGCTGCCTCCAGTGTGTGTGCAATCACAGGAGTGCCTAGGTAAGTCTTTCAGCAGATATTTATTGTGAAACCACGTCCTGGGTGGTGTGTTTCGAAGTCAGGAATCAGTGGTCACACGGTTCTCTTCCAGAGGACCTTACATGGCAGGAGCGGGGACAAGATCCATGGAAGGAAACTCAACTCTAATTTGCTAAGAGAAAAGTAATTTTGCTGGAGTCTCCTAAGATTTTTTTTTCCGCCTAGCCTAGGGCACCTTTGCAGTGAGATGCATTCTTGACTGTTTGAAAATAATTTTATTTTGAAACAGGGTGTCCATGTTGGGCTTGAACTCAAGGTCCTTCTGCCTCAGCCTCTGTGAGGGCTGGGATTACAGGCCCACGCCAGCACTCATTGCTGATTAAGCAGGATAACATGTACAAGGCGTCAAAACATCAACGAGCCGATATTGTCTTCTTTCATCCTGAGGTAGAAAAGAAGCCCAACTCTTCCCATCCCTGACCTGACTGTTGGCTTGCAGGCCAACTGTTCCCTGCACCACTGCCTTCTCTCTGAGGGGTGACACAAAGACAAAAACTGGGGAGGAACCAGATGATAATGCAGAATTTTTTATTTCTCAACTAAAACCTCAGTGAGCAATTTGTATTACACTGTGGCACTTTGAATATGCGGGTTTTGCGGTGCAGCTTGAGACTTGGCCTCTCAGGGGTCTGCCATCTCTGTGCTAGGGACTGGAACTCTAAGGAGCCACAACATGAGAGTCAAGAGGGGTTGGTGCTCAAGGCTCCCAAGCTTCCAGCCTAAGAGCTGAGAGTTACAGGAGCTCAAAGCCAGGAGCCACTAACCTCCAGAGGTACCCTTTCCCAAGTGGGCATGTCCATTCCAATGGGAAAGGTCCTCAGTTGATTGGTAACAGTCTCTGCATAGCAGTGCCTGGCCCAGGGCCTGGCATATCAAGCGTGCACAGTAGATCTGTGCCGATGGAGTGAATGAGTGCCTGACACGTAGAATATTCAGTTTATATGGCTGGGGGTCGTGGGGCACACCTGTAATTTCACCCTGGTAAGGCTCAGACAGGGGGATAACAACTTTAAGCTCAGCCAGGGAATTTAGCAACTTACTGAGACCCTGTCTCAAAAAAAAGAGAGAGAGGAAGGTGTAGCTCATGGTGAAGGCCCTGGATTAATCCCCGTACCATTAAGAAAGGGGACTCGATGTCTGGCAGTGGGGCTTCAGGGTGCCAAATGTTAACACCAGCCAAGCCCCAGGTCTACCCGGATCACTTTGTACCTTAGTGTTTCTTCAAGTGGGGCTTAAGACTCTGGGGTTTATAATCATTGTCATCTCTGATAAAGCTGGACTCTTAACGAAGTGTTTGCACAGTGGATCATTTCAGGTGATACCTTCTCTGTTTTGGAGATCAACATCTCAGGCCTCGTTGTACCAGGGCTTCTCGGATCCTGTGTTCACTTCCATCATGATTTTGAAAATGCTTTATGTGCACCGCACCAGGGAAACCAAAGCGAAAGGTGGTGAAATGTGGTGACTCAGTGGTCCCTCAGTGGTCCCTCCCACAGGCCAGCCAGGGACGTATGTAATTTCTCTCCTGGCTGGCACAGTATGAAAGAGTTAG